TGTATTTTCAAAGTGTTTTTAGACCTTCCTTTTTTTTTAGAATTTCACACGTTAAAAAATTTGAATATGAGAACGAAAATAATAAAATTATTGTTCCAGTATCTAATGTTTCAACTAAAGCATTGATTATAATGCACGATACCTATGTACATTACCAAACACTATTGAAATTCAATAAATATTATTTCTTAATTTCCTTACAGAAAATGAGTGATATATTTGTTTATATCTTATAACGGGGTTTTAGCTCGGTTTACCCCGTGAATATAAAAAAAAGTAAATGGGGAATGCTCAAACAAATGAAGCCTGAAGCTTCCTGGACTTATTCGTCCTCCCAGGTTCGGTGCTCGTCACGCCGGTGACAGGTCGACCGGATCAGCGCAGATTCGTAGTGTTGGCTAAGGAACGCGAAAGTCGGAAATTCAAAAGCGGTTATCGACACGAAAAGGTAGGACGTTCGAATAAAGCAGCGGGATAAGATTTAGTTAAAACGTTTACAAAAAAAAATATCTTTATTCAATAAAAAAGTTAACACAGGCGATCGAAAGGAAGGAGAGAGCACGCTGAGTGAACGGATAAAGAGAGAGAGAGAGAGAGAAAGAGAGAGAGAGTAAACCGTCAAGCCAGTACTTATAATACGGTTGCCTGAACTCTAGGTATACCGACGACTTCTACAGTTTGCGTTGACGCGTACGCGCGAACAATCGGACACCACGTGCACTATGCAGGTCAGTCTCCCTTTTGATGGTGCCTAGCACAACGATGCTCTGCACTACCGGCTGCAGCCCACGTGTTCAAATCGTCTGCAGAATCAGGCGACGTCGCAATACCTCCCTGAATAGGGACACTCGCACTCTAAGGGCGAAGAAAAATGGCAGCAGGTCACAGTCAAGATCCAAGGAAAGAAGGCAGTTGGGACAAAGGACTCTGTCTGCTCACTCACGTGTCTAGACAGTTACTCCTCGCGCCGCGGGCTCAACTACTCGATTTCATCTTAATGAGCCAATCAGTGCGTGCAGTCACTCGCTACGGCACGACTATGTTTCTCTCTCTCTCTCTCTCTCTCCGCGCCTTGCTGTCGCGCACGGAAGTATCCCTGCGTACTCGCATCTCTCTCTCACCTCACTTACCTTATGTCAGAACAGAAGTGTAATTACATATGTAAATATATGTAATAAATAAATATAAATATAGTAAATTCATAAATACATAGGATAGGTTCGGAGAAATATGTTACATTTATTTATCGTTACTAGGGAGAGAGAGACATAACGAGTCAGCAATTTCACTCGTTATAACCTTCTTATTATATTCTCAGAGATAAAAATCCATCAGTGGGCTAGATATATCTCATTGAAATATTTTCTGATTTGTAATTAGACTTTTATAAACGAAAATATTCATTTAGACCCATTCAGAATGATTGAGATCAATAGATTTTATAACTAGAAATGAATTCTTATAACTATTGTTATTTGATAAATTCAAGAACATTATGCAAGAATTAATCTTTATGTATTTAAAAAAAATTCAAATCGATCCTTATGCTGCAAAATTGAGTTAAGAATGATTAAAATAAATTATAGTACAATTAATTACACAGGTATACAAGATTTTATATCACAAGTAAGCTATAATATTCCTGAAGGATTTCGGTGCGCAGAATCCAAATCTGTCCTCAGAATTATTCCATCACGTTAGGATTTTGAGATATCTTTTTCGCATATTTTCGCATATATAATTCGCATATTCCTTTCTTGCACGAATTTTTCTGTTCAGTGAATTTACTCGAACATTCTTACTCGGGGTTTTTGGAATCGCTGATCACGTATCTGAAGTCAACGCACACGCACGCATTTTTTCAAAATTCTAACAGCACAAATCGAAAGTTCAAATAATTTTATGTCAGAAATGTCTATGCCTGATTTTTATTCTTGATAAAAGATTAATTGAAAAGAGTAAAAGATAATCGTCCACTTAGGACTTAATGGGTTAATGAATTTTTGAATTTTGAAAAATTCATAAATATGAAAATTTCAAAATACGACATCTTGGAGAAAAAAAAATATTTAGGCAAACTTAACGGCATTTCGAAGGGAAAGATTCGTATTTTAAGATGCTTTCAATGTTTTTCTATGATAAAATTTATTTATGATGCTACGTAACCTCAAATATGTCAAAAAAAACAGTTCTTTTTGCATTTTTAGGTTAGGATATCTCGAAAACCTGACGTGTTGGAACAATTCTGAGGACAGATTTGGATTCTGCGCACCAAAATCCTTCGGAAATACCATAGCTGGCTTATCATACAGAAAATTACCTATTATTTGTATACCTGTGTTATACATTCAAATCGATTCATTCAATTAAACTCCAATGATTATAACATACAGTAAAAATCCAGTAAACTCAATTGAATTAATTTATCAAATATGATTATTGAAGACGATTGAATGACAAAGCTTATTGATAATGATAAAATTTTATTTAAATCAGTTTTTTAAAATTAATTAAATTCAATTTGTTACAATTTACAGAGGAAATAAATTGAATATAATTGAATCTAATTCCAAAATGTATTATTCATTACAATTAACATTAAATACAATTAATTATGCTTAACTTTCAATCACCAAAATCTTGTATGTCAATTAAGCTCATAAGAGTAAATTAAAAACTATTGAAAGTGATTGATTGTCAATTAATCTCAATGATCAACGTCAATCTCAATCAACATCAACCCTATTAAAAAAAATTATGTCTTTTTTTGACGTCTTTTATTGACGACTTTTGTAAACGTCCTTTTTAAACGTTATTTCATGTCTTGAAGTGGAACGTTTTGTGACTTTTTTTTAAATGACGTCATTTTCCTTGGCCAATTGTTTGGCGATTGTTCAGTGACAAAAAAAGACGTTATTTCTATGGAATAAAGACGTCGTTTCCTTTACAATTTTTATTCAGAATATGATTAAAAGACGTCTGTAATTCAAAAATTACGTCATTTCTCCAATCTATATTTTCTCCCGCTTGAATCAACGACGTCATTTTTCAGAAAAAATACGTCATTTTTCAGAAAAAATACGTCATTTTTATGGGAAATCACGTCTTTTTAGTAAACGAGAACGTCGTTCTATCCACCAAAATTCTATACAGTAGAGTGTTTTCTTGAGAAAGACGTTATTTTATGCAACTGAAAGATTTACAAATTAAAATGACGTCTCCATCCTCGCATTCGTTAGCCCAATTCCTCAGTAGCGAATACGTGGGTACGTTGCAAATTGGATGGATATTATTACCGATAATATGGTTTTCGCAAGGGCTTGTCCACTCACCATGCTCTACAGAAAGTACAAGAAAGAGTCACGGAAGCTCATTACGAACTGCCCGGCCGAGGAGGGTATTACGCTATTATAGCGCTGTACGTGAAGAATGCAATTAACTCTGCTAGCTGGGAGCGTATTTACAAATCTGTTTCGAAAGACAAGAAGATGCCGCAATATTTTCTGAGGATATTAGACAGCTACCACAAGGATAGGACACTAGTGATAGTGACTGAGAGCGGAAGAATAGTTATCGATCTCTCGGCGGAAATACTCCAAGGATCCATCATGGGCCCTTTCTTATGGATCTGTATGTACGACGGACTGCTGAGACTGAAACAGCCGAACGGAGCACCGCTGATCGGGTTCATAACGACCTGGCATTGATAGTCGTAGCGGAGACGGCAGAACTGGTGGAGATAATCGCTAACGAAGCACTGGAGCTTATTGCGGAATGGCTTGCTAGCAGACTCCTGCAATTGACAGTGCACAAGAAATTACTTTCAATACGTCATATAAATTGTCCAGTTACGTAAAATTAAGTTGAATGAGAATTTCGTGACAATAGAGCTTTCCGCAAAAAAATACATTTAAACTGATTAAAAGCCCTGAAATCTTCATGTGTACCTGTGAATTTTTTTCTTGAAAGTTCAAAAATATCATATATTTCAAAGTCTGTATCTCCGCGAGTTTTTAATTTTGTTCCACACGCGACCTCTCATTTTTTTTGTTTATTTTAACAAAACAAAATATAAATTGTCAAAAAATTTTCCGTACCTAGATACATTCTAAAGATAAATGCTTAGAATTTCGAATATTACAACGCTGACCTTGAAATTCAAGGTTAAATGAACGTTTTCTAGAATTCGTTGGGCTTATGTTTCTATCTTTATCCAATCACTAAATATTCGATTTTGAACAACTTTTCCCGATTTATCCCACTATGCATCGCCGCCAGATGGATTTTCCAGCATCGCGTCTATTGCACTCTGATTGTTTTATGGCTGACTGCGCCATCCCACTTTCTTTCAAAATTGTCGACACATCTATTCTTTGATCGCCACACGTACGATTCGTTTCCACCGGACTTCTACGGTCAGCATCCTTAACAGAGAGTTTGAAGAGAAAGTTGAAGCTGAATTTTGTAATCGTACGTATTATCGACTGTTGTTTGTGTTCGTTTTCAGTTTATGCTTTTAAGAGCGGTTTCGTTCGTGAGAAACGAAAAAGAAATAATGCGCTTGATTCGGTGCTTCAACAGTAACTACTAACTTCTGAGTAATGGCTGCGCGTGTAATTCATTTCTTTCTCGTCTTTTTGCTCTCCGCAATCGCTTCCTCCTTTTCTCTTTATCAGTCGCTTCTGGTTTCATCAATCGTCTTATACACTATACCTCAAATAGAGAAAATCAGGCATAAGTGTTGTGGTTTACACTCTCAGTCTGAAGGTGGCAAACAGACCTCAACGGCAAAATATCGGTGTAGCCGTAATTCTCCGTATCAAATACATAAATAAATATTATAAAAAACGAGTATATAAAACTCACTCAACTACAGTAGTAAAGTAAGAAAAATTAAATAAACTTAGTTAAATCTGCCCTAATCTATTTTCGCAGAACCCATTGAAAATAATATCAAGTTCATTTTAGAATAAAAAATTTTACATTTGAACTATACTCACGTCATGATAAATACATTTTCCTGACACCAAATGAAAAATTCTTGATGATCTTCGAAAGCGGTGTTTAATATATCATCATGTAAGCACATCATCTTTAATGATTCTAACATATATGAACTAATATCTGAATCTTGCGCAGATGTTAAATCCTAGAAAGAATTATTTTAATTCTTCTCATTTGTAATCGTATAAAAATAGCTTATTTAAAAATATATATTTATTATCATAACGTTTCATATTTAGAACATTCTTTTACTTTTTCGATATAATTACAAACAATTTTAACCATTACTCTAAGAAGCGTGAAAGCTTTATTCAACTTTAAAATTTCTTTACATTAAGGACCTTCAACGCCTTTTCAAATCATCGTATCATTATTATAAATTGAGTGAAACAGAACAGAGCTTTTTCTTATTATATCTATTTACAGACTATATAGCAATCAGAAAAATAATATACAAGATTGACTGCTCAAAAATTTAGGAGTATTGGCTGATAAAGTATTGTAAAACCAGGGTATGACGAATACTGGCAATATAACCGGAAAAAGTTTTAAAGATTCTGAAAAGCTAACTTGCGCTTTAGAATTAAATGATAGAATTGTTAAAAACGTAGTTACTATTATTATGCTTTTTAGAAGTAAAGTAATTTCGAACTTACGATATTTAAAAGTATACTACTCACAAATGTATGATTTGTACTACCAGCGGTATTCATTGGCTTGTATGAACCCAACTTTACATAAGCTTTTAACCCAACCCACGAGTCTGATTTATCAAAAAAATTCCCCACACCACAAACTTACTTTGCGAAAGATTGTTCAGAATCTTAGCATAGATATTATAAAAGGCATTTAGTTTCACATATTTCATAAAGTAGTAAAAAACCATTTAAAAGATGGATTTCATGGTACTTTGGCCTAACTGACCGGAAAATGTTTTTGCTAAATATCAATAGATTAGAAAAACAAAAAAGATTTCTCATTGCTAATGATATGAGGCAGCACATAACGAGATGGTAATTATATATTATTCATATTATAAATATTTTGTTGATAACTTAATATTACTTCATCCCTCGATTTTCAGTGAAAATGTGGGATATATGATAGCGATCTAATCAATTTTGAAACAAACTAGTTTAAATTTGGACTAATTTAGCTTATAGAATGGAGTGGAAAATTTTCTTAACTATGCAATTGAATTTCTCAGATTGTGAACTATAAAAATATGTGTACAAAATTTTTTTCAGAATTAACTAACCAGGTTTCAGGCTAAACAACGAAAAAATTAAAAAATTAAGTTTTTGAAGGTTATTTTGAAGATTACGATAATTTTTTGAATGGAACATAAATAGCTTATCTGAATTTTATATCACCTTTTCTTTAAAATGCCATCAGATTTAGGTGCGACCACACCGGATGTGAGTCATGCATCCTGCGTCTATATTTTTTCATAGTTGCTAGTAAGTACAGACAAAATAAAAGAAAGTGGCTAGTCTCGCCACTTGACGAGATTTAATTTCGTTTTACCGCGTTATTTACAGACTTCTATTAAGTTTCTGGTGAAAAAAAAACTATCGATTTTCTCAATATTCAAATTCAACCCGAACCCCCCCCCCCCCCCCCCCCCCTGCAACACGTACGTATACATATCTTACTGCTGTATTACACAATTAACAATGAATATCTCTTCGCCAAAGCATTTCTCATATTCACACTAGAAGGTGTTTTACGTATGGATCATACAAACATTTCGGATATCCCATATTTAGCCTGTGCCAGTACTCGAGAATTTATGATCAATAGTCACAGACTTTACTGGCATTATTGAAATATCGAAAGGATCAATGAAAATCATTTCAAAAGATCATTTGGGCTTAAGAAAACTGAAAGCACGATTGATTCCAAAATCACTCAATTTTCTTGAAAAATATCACCGCGTTCATGTCTGTGAAACAATGCTTTTTATCTACCAGAGTAGGTAAACTAGAAGGCCATAGCTCAGACGGGTATCGGCTCACTAAGTTGAGATGTACTCCCTGAGCTGATGCCCGTGCATTTCAGCTCAGTACTGTCAAGTTACCTCACCTCCCCACTACTAAGCTAAGATGCCCGTGCATTTCACTGTCGACTCACCTCCGCCCCTACTGAGTTGATACCCGTGCGTTCTATGCACTTCCCCCTCCCCAAGTGAGCATAAGCACATAAGTGCTCTTGATGCCCGTGTGTTCTGTGTTACACAGTTTGATTTTATTGTGGGTGTGTGTGTTAAATTTTTAGACTTATCGGAAAAAAAACGGACGAACGGACGGATCGGGGGATCGAACGCGCATTCTCTGGCTCCGCAGGACGATGCTCTACCGCTAGAGCTACTGCCACTACTGGTACTACAAGCAATTCGTAGAGTGTATATTAGCTACGCGAATGATATGTGGGGCGGGGGCTTAAGCGCTAATACATACAAATAATAATGCTATTATATACAAGGTCTCAAATAAGTAACGGAACAAGGCTGTAGCTTTTTAGGTACAGATTATTAGACCAAGGTAAAGGTCATTCCTTTAGTAACTTTCAACGCGGAATCCGATGGTGACCTTGGATTTGACCTTGAGATTGACCTTCAAGGTTATTTCAAGGTCAACTTTGTTTTTTTAAATGGGAACCCCTATTTTTGACAACGGCAATCGAAAGAGCGGAAAATTTTACGTCCAAAACGGTATTTTAAAATTTTTTTTCTTGGCCTTGAGAAGATCGATTTAAGGTCAAATGCTTGAAAAACTGCCTAAAAGCGTTTTTTTAATTTTTAAGATATCGAAAAATGACCTCTACAAAATTTGTTCAGAACAGAGTGGGCCACCCAATAACCCAAAAACCTTTGACCTTTAACCTCATTTTGAAGGTCATTTCAAGGTCGAAGTGTTTTTTGTAATGGAAACCCCTATTTTTGACCCCGGATTCGCATATAGCGCGAAATGAGAAAGAAACATTCAAAACGCAGTGAGTGGAAAAAACTTATCCGGCAAAAAAACTGTACCTATGTCTCTGCTTACTCCTCATTTAAAACAACTTGACTTTCGGTTTGGATAACCCGTTACTTTATTATTCAAACAATCAAAGGTCAAGGATAAGGTCACTGTAACATGCTCTCAGTAGAATTTAATAAATTTAGCCCGAAACATTTTGTAAATGTTTCGCGAATAATATTGGATCTAAATTTCACATGACCTTAGCGATGAACGTCGTGGATCAATCGAAACTCAACATAATACCTTATCCAAACGTCGGATTTCGCGCTATGTGCTAATCCGGGGTCAAAAAGAGGGGTTTCCATTACAAAAAACACTTCGACCTTGAAATGACCTTCAAAATGAGGTTAAAGGTCAAAGGTTTTTGGTGCATTGGGTGGCCCACTCTGTTCTGAACAAATTTTGTAGAGGTCATTTTTCGATATCTTAAAAATTAAAATAACGCTTTTAGGCAGTTTTTCAAGCATTTGACCTTAAATCGACCTTCTCAAGGCCATGAAAAAAAATTTAAAAATACCGTTTTGGACGTAAAATTTTCCGCTCTTTCGATTGCCGTTGTCAAAAATAGGGGTTCCCATTTAAAAAAACAAAGTTGACCTTGAAATAACCTTGAAGGTCAATCTCAAGGTCAAATCCAAGGTCACCATTGGATTCCCCCCTCGCCCGCCCGCCTAATGTAAAATGCGTTTTAAATATTAAAATAAATTTTTGTAATTAATTGCATTTAATTAATTTGACGCAATTGATTTACGTGTAATGCATAGATTTAGTGAAAAAAATGACCAGACACCACGGGGAATCGATCTCGCGTCCTACGGATCGATAGACCATAGCCTCTAGCAACTAAGCCACGGTTGCTTATAGCTCTTGGTATCTCTTATTGGGTATATTAGATACACACAACCAAAAAGCGATTGGACTACGGCGTCCCCCCGGCGCGACTTCATACGTGTGTGTGCACGTGTTTTAAGATCACGCGTTATCGCGCGCGCGCGTGTGTGTGTGTGTATGTGTGGTGTGTGCAACACATTGATACTTACTGCAAACCCGAATATCTGTGCTTGTCCAAGAGATACACCATCGCCATGCTTACCTGTCTTGGTGAGTGCATTTTTATATATTATTAATTAATTTTGTATTAATTTATTATTATTAATTTATTATTATTAATTTATTATTAATTCATGAAATGATGGAGTAGAGGAGGGGGTAATCGTAAATATATACATCGTTTTTCCTTAAATAACATTTTTTTCTTAATTAAATGTTATTTATAACAACTGAATTACATAATTTATATATATTTATAACGAATCTTCGTCGTCGTCGTTGTCGTCCAACAGCATCGCCGTTGTTTCATCCAGCTCGCATACAATTTTCCTTCTTTTGGGAGGAGCGAACAGAGGCGATGGGCTGTTTCTTTTCGGAGGGCTGTCACAAACAGCCACTTCACTATACCTGCTGGAAAAAATAATGAAATTAATTTCAATTAATAAATAAAATAAAATAATTATTATATAAATATCATTGATTAATTCTTCCTGCTTTATGCGATACTTCAATCTACTACCAGCACATGTAGGTGATTCTATCCACGACACAGCTTTCTTCTGCGTCGTGGTGATTGGCCTTGGGCTGACAAGGTCGATGTATGGTCTTGGTGGAGTGACTAGGTTGATATGCACGATCCGCCTAGGTTTTGGTTGGTGCACTTCGCACACAATCTCGCAATCAGATCTGTAAAAAGTATAATATAAAGTATTATACACATACACACACACACACACACACTTACACATCTAGTGGAAGTTCTATACATTCCGGTGATGGACGTGGTGATTGACGCGGACGGCTGTAAATAAAAAATAAATAATTAAGTGTTTTACATACACACATACGCACACACACACACGCGCGCACGCGCACACACTTACACGTCAGGAGATAGTTCCACACATTCCGGTGATGGACGTGGTGGTTGACGTGGACGGCTGTAAATAAAAAATAAATAATTAATAATTAATAATTATATATAATTTTATATAATATTTGCTCGAAAGAAGAGTGGGCTTCGACTCGTGGAAGAGAGTAGATGTGTCTTGACTGTGAGTGCGACTTTTGG